AATAGAAGGCGCTTGTGCTCACATGCAGAGCTCCATTCACGTGAGTGGAGCTTCACGCGTGCCCGCGTGCCCATTTCTCCCGCGGCCCAGTTTCGGCTGCGGCCCAGGGGGTTGGGGAATATAGCATTAGTGCATAAGATTCACAAAAACAGCATATAAAATGTGTAAAAATATATAAAACACCAGAAGAGTGAATTAGCTTAAAAATGCACAATACGAATGATGTATAAAATTATGCATGAGCAGTTATGGCTAAGCCTGAGGCCGGTTATCTAGGTCATTTAGCCATTGGACAGCACTGCCCTCGAGATGAAGTCGTTCATGCAGGGGTCCGGGGAACCTTCTGAGGGGGCATTCCCTCACCATGGGATGTAAAGTTGGCCGGACGTTCCCAGCCCCCAGCTGTATTTCCAATATTGGCACCTGCCGCGTCTGGCTCAGATCGGGTTGAGTGCTGTCCAGTTTTCCCTTGGAAGAAGATCAAAGCCGGAGGGGCATCGTAATGGATCTCTGGGGGTGGCTGAATGGGAAGAAAATGCAGGCCACGGACATGTTTTTTCCTGCCAGGAAGAAGGTGACTCTCCAATTATATTCTTCCAGCTGTTAGACTTTGTGCCTCCCCCATGGGGAGGCAATTTTCTTTCGGGGAGCCTGCTCTTCGACTGCAGACCTTCGGTTCAACTGGACACTTGTTTTTTTGACGTCCAGCTCCTGTCATTACTCTGCTTTCAAAATAACAAGTGACCTGCTCCGGAGCAGAGTGAACGATAGAGCCTGGGTGTCAGGTTGTCAACCGACTACTTTAAATGACCATGGCTGACGAGGGCGTTTCTCTGGGCCCTGAAGTTCTCAGACCCCCGACGGAAGACAGCCCCAGTGTTCAAGATTTGGAGCAGCTCCTGAATACTGGCAGGTCCTCCTGTCACCACACTGATGAAGTCTGGCCTAATCTTTTCTTAGGAGATCAGTAAGTATGTTTGTCGGAGAGCATGTCTGCCTCTCTAAACAGCCCTTTTCCTATATAATTAAGGCAACCAAATAAATTGCGTCCAAGGATTACTTGATGTGATTAACTACTGTAACAGCTATGCATAGTTATATCCCTGTCTGAAAAGCCAAGCCTAGGGGCTCGTACTGGAGTCTCATGTTTTATTAAATCGTATTTTGAGCAGGTAAGTTAGATTAGCAATTGCCAAAAGACACCAGCTTCTTCCATGATACATGATAAGTCTCCTGAGTCAAGCAATTGCACTTTGATTTTTGACCAAAATTTGTGTTTACACCCGGTGAGATATTTCCCATATGAAAGGTGAGTTGATTTAAATTTTAGGGGGAAGAAAGATCTAAATACTTTTTCCTGACAATATCTATCTTTTCTTCAGCGTAGCAGCGCATAGCAGATTCGACTTATGGAAAATGGGGATTAGCCACATTTTAAATGCAGCCCACGGCACTCTCTATTGCCAAGAGTCGCATGATTTTTATGGTGCAACGATTGAATACCGTGGTGTACCAGCTCACGATCTTCCCAGTTTTGATATAAGCCCGTATTTTTATTCTTCTGCGGAATTTATACACAAGGCTTTGACTACACCCGGAGGTATGGAAATCAGGATGGCTGGTATTAAGCTGTGACTGGGCATTCACTTGGACATTTGTTCAAGATTATATAAAAAAAATAAATCTGAATATCTGAAGTTAAGGAAGAAAGATCATCCCTTTTGAATTTTTATGAATCTTCCCTGCAAATGAGTATAAAGATTTATTGCAAGCTTAAGCTGTCTACAAGAATCTGGCCAAGTGACCATGAAGGGAATGCGCGAGAGTTAAGAAAGGAATTCAAGGTGGGCTGGACTGAGATCGCTTGTGGGCATGCAGGGACTCGTGACTGATAACACGCTTGACGCCTCCCTCAGGCTCAGCCTGGTCATCTACAGTTTCCTCCTTGATAATGCTTTCAAGTCAAGTGGCCATGTTGCCTGGCTTCATGGCTTTCTGATGGCCTTGCCATCCTGGACCTCCAAGATCCTAGTGAGCCTGTGAGAGCAGCCAGATCTTCTTCCCTCACTGGGGGGAACCCCACCATTCTCCATCCAGGCAAACTGCAGCATCTTGGATAGGCCCAGGCGACAGCAATTGCAACAGTCCAATGGGCAGGTGGTTGTGTGAATTAGGAAGTCCTCTGTGGCAGCCATTTTGTGATGGCATCCATTCACATGCCCTCAAGATTAACAAACTTCCTTTGGCCAAAAGCCTTTGCTTTCCTTTGTGCTTTTTTTTAAAAAAAACAACAACGCCATATATAAAGATTATTTTTATTTTTAATTTATTTATTAATTAAATTTATATGGAACATGACTGTGGGTGGTGTACAACGTTCCTATAGAAAGAGTCAAATAGATAAGACAGTCCTTAGTTAAAGCCATTGTATAATAATTATTAAAAAGAATTAGAAATTATAAAAGCAGAGGGGGAAGAGGAATAATAGAGGGATGTTAATAATAAGGGAGCCACTTCATGAGTTCACCTGTCTCCTTGGGCTCCCCAGGCTTAATAACCAGGTCTTGAGGGACTTTCAGAAGCTCAGGATGATGAGGACAACATTATTCCACAATATGGGCACCATGGAAGAAAAGGGCCCCCCATAGGACCACCATATGTAGCTCCTGTAACAAATCAATTCTAGTGAGATCTAGTGAGGTGGGAGAGAGGGGTCCCACAAATAACTGATCCTGTGCATGGTTGGGCTTTAAAGCTCAGTGCCAGCACCTTGGATTCAATTTAGAAGCTTTATGGCTGCCCTACCATAACTGTTTGCCCCACTGCATTTTGCATCAGCTGAAGTTCCTGGACCCCAACGCCAATCTATCGCTTTTATTTCCAGGCAAAATCTTTGTCCACTGCGCTTTTGGGATAAGCAGATCTTCCTCTTTGGTGCTGGCGTACCTCATGATCTATCATTATTTCTCGCTGGTGAAAGCAATACAGACAGTAAAAGAGCATCGGTGGATCTTCCCTAATCGAGGTTTCCTGAAACAATTAAGAAATCTGGACCTCCAGCTAAGAAAAAAATGAACAAAGAAAGAAATGGAATGTACGTTTTTAAAAGAAGGAACATATCTTGCAGACGTTCTGTCAGTTGGCACAATATGTACCAAAATTATTCTTTTAGCTGACTTGCAGATATTGCTTCTTGTTAGGTAAAGTTTGCAATGTCTGCAGAATGTTGTATTTATTGAATTATTTATTTATTGAATTATTGAGTCTGTCCATAAGGACATAAGGACAGTTCCCCCCCCCGTGCCGTCACTCTGCTTAACAACTAATTCCTACACCACTGTCAAAATACTAGTAAAGCTGTATTATTATGATACTCCTCATCTTTCCTATTATCTTCCTATGACTATAACTTTGCTGCTTGTATCTTACAATTTATACCGTTTTTGTGGGTTTTTTTGTTTTTTTTTGTACCCTAGTATGATTTATGTTGTTTGCTTAGCTAGTACTATCACTGTTGCATCTTATGATTTATGATGAAGTGTTATATTTCACGATTTATGATGAATGTATTTTTGTGTTGTATATGATCATCATTATCACTATTACTTGTATGTACACTGAGAGCTTATGCACCGGAAACAAATTCCTTGTGTATCCAGCCACACTTGGCCAATAAAGAATTCTATTCTATTCTATTCTATTCTATTTTGTATGTTAGTCCACAGGGAACTGATGTGGACTAATGAAAGACTTAATAAAAAGAGAAAAAAAGAGCCTTGGAGAGAGAGAGAGAGAGAGAGAGAGAGAGAGAGAGAGGGAAGGAAGGAAGGAAGGAAGGAAGGAAGGAAGGATCATTTATTTTTCCTGGTGCTGTCATGCTTCCTATTTCCAAGGAACTTCATTCAATATATTTGGAATTGCTGTTCAAACCAAGAGACAACAAGCAGTTTAATACTCCATGCACTGTTTCATGCAAAAGCAGTTATTTAGAATTCAAGTTTCCTTGACCCAAACATAATTTGACACATGTGGATAAGGCTGGGCATTTTAAATATATCCTGTCACGGCAAAACCAAATAGATTCGATTGTGAAAAGTATCCTAGCTTGAATTGGCACTTTCCACGCCTGGTGTCAGCCGTCGCTGAAGTCCTGGCACTGAAAGTGCTTTTTAATCTACATGTAGAAATGCTGACACCGAAATTCTTTTTCTTTCCCCAAAAATGGGGTGGTTTCACAAGCTGAGGGCTCTCTATCTAGCCCTTATGTTGCAATACAGATTGAAGAGACTGCTGACAGAGACAAATTCCTTGTGTGTCCAGTCACACTTGGCCAATAAAAAAATCTATTTTGGTTAAACCCAATAGTTAGTCCCCAGGCAGGGAACAAAGTAATCATAGATGGCTTATCAGGATAGTTTTTAATCAAATAACATAATACATTGTGGGAAAGGTCGAAAGCGATGCCATCATGTAGAAGGGGCGCAAAAGAAATCTTGAGTATGAATCTGGCAAGAGAGGAAAAAGATATCTTTTGATTGATTTTCTGGATGCTATATAGGTAGTGACTGTGAGGTTTAATAGCAGCAGTTCTTTGTTGTGACTCAAGAGCTTAGACCACGGGTGTCCAACCTCAGCAACTTTAAGAGCTGTGGACTTCAGCTCCCAGAATACCCCAGCCAGTCATGCTGGCTGTGGAATTTGCTGGCTGGGGAATTCTGGGAGCTGAAGTCCACAAGTCTTCAAGTTGCCAAGATTGGACACCGCTAGTTTACACTTTTAACGGTAGAGAAAAATATGGATTATTTCTTCCTCATGTTGCAGTTTGCTTCTTTTTCCACCCAGAAGGCTGGGGAGGAGGTTATTATTTAATTTTTCATCTTATTAAATCCTGCCTTCCTCAACTTTGGAAGGCTTTTGCTTCTGAGCTCTTACAGTTGCAGTCCAACTGGACTTATATTTATCTTTTACACTGTAACACATTCATTTATTTACATTTTTATTTCAAATATTTTTTTGCTGGTCCCAAGCAGACTACGAAAAAGAGCTTTAGTCACGTGGCCTTGGCTTAACTGACCCTTTCTGTGGCCACTCCTGCTGACCCATCTGCTTGTTATTACACTTGTGTTGGAATCAATGTTAATTTCCCAATTTTTCCCAAAATTCCCAGCTATATTCACTCCTATTCAAAGAAGCAACTACTCATCCTGAGGGTAGCCCCTCTTGAATAAATAAGAGTTATACCATCCTGGACAACAATAATAAAATTAAAAGGAAATAACTCTGTTGCATTGCTGATGGACCTCCAGGATGGAAGGAAGGAAGGAAGGAAGGAAGGAAGGAAGGAAGGAAGGAAGGAAGGAAGGAAGGAAGGAGGGAGGGAAAAGAGGAAAGATTTCAGCCACAGATTTGATTTAATTCCACCCCTGGCACTAGGTTTTTCTAGAAAATGATCCATAATATCAAAGAATATGCTGCTAGTCATTCTTTAATCTCTAACAGGTTTTTTTAATTAAAAAGGAAAAAAGATGGAATAAATAGTGAGAAAGCACAAAAATTACAAGTAGGAAATAAGGCTTTTTGGTTCCCTGCCAATAAATAAATAAACAAGTGTGAGTCAGAGTAATGGCACATAAAACGCCTTATGTGGAAAACAGCCCCAGGCCGCATCATCCATCCATTATTGCTTATTGCACTACACTTTCCTCTCCCCCCCCCCACACTTGGACAAATAATTCTGTCCTAGAAAAAATAAATCACAAGAGGAAAAATAATGCAGTCTTTCTGGTTTGTATGTTGAATTATTTGCTACTGCGTCTTCTGTGCCAGAGTGCAGGGAGATAAATCAAGACATTTTAAGGTGTGCACCTGCTTCCCACTGTCAGATGTCAAAAAGTAACTGGCACACACACAGCAAGGTCCTGCAGTGATAGGATATCCACAAACTGTGCAACGATCACTTGGTAGTCAACTTACTTGCTACTTTGCAAATGGACACCGCCAGATCCGGCATAGCCTCCGTGAAGGAACTGGAGTGCCGTATAGACAGCTGTAGGCTGGAATTAAATGCGCTGGATGAAGTGTGGCCCAATATTTATATAGGTAACATGTAAGTATTATCTGGAAGGAAAGCATTGATTAAATGGGCTGAACGGTATTTACAGAGAAAACTTTTTGCAATGCAAACATATTCAGTGCCTGAAGAAAACCTGTTGCTGAAGGATAAGTGCATATTCCTTAAAAGACCATTGTTTAGCTCAGCGGTTCTCAATCTATGGGTCACGACCCCATTTGGGGTCGATTGACCATTTCACAGGGGTCGCCAAGCAAGGCTGTCCGCCATTTTTTTTGTCCGCCATTTTTTCCCCTTTTCCGGCGGGTGCCTTACCTCCCTTGGGCTGGGCCAGCTGGTGGTCGGCCTGCTCCGTCTCTGCCGCTTGCCAGCTACGCCTCGGCCGGCGCAGGGGGTGGAACCACGCATGCGCGGCACTCCCAGGCAGGGAAAGTCCTCGACTTACGACCGGTTTAGTCCTCGACTTACGACTGGTTGGGGGTCGCGGCATTAAAAAGGTTGAGAACCACTGGTTTAGCTCTCTTTCAGAAGGCTGGGAAGTTGGAATTAGCTTTCAATAAAAAGCAGAAAAATAATAATAATAATCTCTCTATTTAGACTACTAGTATTAATATACAGCCAGGGAAAGGAAATCAGCACAGACAATAATTTCCCATCAGTTGCAATTGTCTCTAAAATACATCACGGGAGTCAACTGAACATGTTCGTTCCATTGCGTGTTCTGTATGTTAAACTTGTCTGAGGTCTGTTCTCAAATTGCATTTCTGCTTTGACGTTGTCTTGTTGCAATTCTCCCTTCTGTTCCTCAAGATTATTCCTACAGCCCATTGCTGGACTCAATAACTGAGCCCACCTGGAAGTGTGGAAGAAGGCAACCTGAAGTGTGGGAAGGTTAAATTGTAAAAAAAATTATTAAGAATGAAAAAGAAAAATATGTATCTTGTTTGCTTGTGAAGCTCAAAAAGGAAATAGATCCCCATGAAGGGGTCCTTGAATGCAGGAAACAGAAGCTGTAGTCTTTTTTTTAAATAATATTTTATTAATTTTCTAATTTTACAATTAAACATTTAAAAAGCAATGTGGTGATTGGGTAATCAATAATTCAATAACATACATAAATCTTTAGCACAAATCTCAAGTTACAACATCAGACATTTCCTCTCTTTTTCCCTTAATGTCCACTATCTCAAATTGAGCTGATATATCTTATTGTTATCAACTAAGTAAAACCATCTTTGCTACATTTATCAATAATTTTTAGCTTATACATATCTTAATTTTGCATTCAATCCTTATATACAATCAATGTCCTGTTATTGCTTCCCCCCCCCCCGGCTTTAATTTCCCCTCAATATTCAACTTAACATTCGATATTATAATTTCCAAGCTTTAGGTGACCAGAGTTTCCCTCATCTCAACTTCTACATTTTTCCCTTTTTATAACAAAATCTAATATTCTAAATACACATCTTCTCTATTTACATATAATCTTATTCTATTTGCTAAAAGTTATCTATTTTTCACCATGTTAAACCAGAGGTCTATTAATCTTATTACACATCTTATCTATTCAACTATAATGTTACTTTATTTTCTAAAAATGATCTATTTTCCAAAATGAATGGAAACATAGAGCTGGGAAAGAGGTTGTGGAAGATGCTTACAGGAGAGTGAGTGAAAAGAAACACAGAGCACCAAAATTACATTAATGGGAGGTATGAGAAAGAATGCTTGGGGGGGGATGGGGGGGAACATGCATGGAAGAGAATGATCTCTAAAACAAAATTAGAGTGAAGGAAATATATAATGTATACAGAAAAAAACAAAGTCAAAAAGAGGAAGAAAGAGTTAAAATTAAAGGGAAATTGATATAATGCCCCAATACAAAAGGAACAGTAACAACCGTGAATGCAAAACACGGGATGGGGAAGTATTCCTTGGAAGTTTTTAGGTGGAATTCTGACTGAGAAGGCACCTGAGGTAACTATGATTAAAGTTGGCAAGTATGTTTCAGCTTTATTCTGGGCAGGGAAGGAGCAAATCTGATTTTGGCTTTTTACTAGGTCATTAAGAAATAGTTTGGTATGACATAACTTTTGGAGGGGATGTAAAGACAGCATGAGATAAAGTGAATTATGGAATGCTTTATGCAAATACAGTTTTGAAGGTTGATTACTCAATAGGCAAACGAGGGATACAAGATTGAAGTAAAGTTGCACAAACTCTTTGTGAACGGTCCAGCAGTGATTAAGAGTGATTTGTAATGCTCCCCTTTGCGAATTGTATATTGTGTGATGCAACAAGGAACGTTTAACCTACCAAACACCAAAAAAATTATGTTTGGCAGAGAAAATTGAATGAACCATTGCAATTTTTATACAGTATGAACTGCAAAAATAAACATAGAGCAAAGGAGTGAATTTATGAATCCTGTACAGTAATTAATACATTTACTGAAGATGGAGAAATTTAAAGGCATGCAAAATGCAATGCAAAGATTGTCAATACTATCTGGTCCGTTGGAAGGAACAAATGTTTGTCGAAAGAAGGAAAAATGGATCTGTATAAAAGTCAGATTTTGGCCCATGTTGACGTGTGAAGTGAATATTGGATATGCCAGGAAAAATATAGAAAGTATAAATATAAAAGCAACTTGAATAAAGGGGGAAATGGGAGATGATTTGGCATTTGCAGCATATTCCTCTCTCACGTTGTCCCCCCAATTTGCCTACCTGTGTCTGTGCAGGGTCACAGCACACAACAAGGAGGAGCTGTGTCAACGTGGGATCACCCACATACTGAACACAGCGCACAATGCCTGGGGGAGCAAAGGAAATCAGGCCTTCTATGGGCCAGAATTCTCTTACTATGGCATAGCAGCAGAAGACTCCGTAGATTTTGACCTGAGTGCCTATTTCCATCCGGCCTCAGAATACATCCACCAAGCATTAAGAGCCCCAAAAGGTGAGTCCCCATCTTTACAGCCATGTTTCTCAAGCTTGGCAGCTTGAAGACGTGTGGACTTCAACTTCCAGAAGTCCCCAGCCAGCTTAGCAAGGTTGAGAAACAGTGCTTTACAGAAACACCCAAGACTGAAATCATTATTTCATGTAGAAATCTTAAGCCACATCCAGAATTTGAAGCAATAATACTTGCACCACGTTATCTCTGTAACTCCAGAAACCTATTGTCCACATAAAGCTCCTTCTCAGCACTAAAATTTTTGATTAGCGGACTGAGATTCTGTACCAGGAAAGAACCAACCAACCAACCAAAAATGGATTCAGAGATGGTGTTATTAGCCATGTCAGATGGAAATGTTGGTATCTAATGAAGCCTAACACAACAGAATAACAAAACAACAGAAGGGACTTTGGAGGTCTTCCACTCCAAACCCCTGTTCAAGGAGGAGACCCTATACCATTTCAGACAAATGGTTGTCTAATCTCTTCTTAAAAACCTCCAGTGATGGAGCAGCCACAACTTCTGAAGGCAACTTTTGTTCCACTGGTTAATTGTCCTCCCTGTCAGGAAATTTCTCCTTAGTTCTAGGCTGCTTCTCTCCTTGATTCTTGTCTTGCCTTCAGGTGCTTTAGAGAATAGCTTGACTCCCTCTTCTTTGGGACAGCCCCTCAGATATTGGAAGACTGCTATCATGCCATCCCTCATCCTTCTCTTCATTAAACTAGACATAATCCTGCAACTATTCTTCGTATATTTTAACCTCCAGTCCCTTAATCATCTTTGTTGCTCTTTGCATTCTTTCAACATCTCTTTTATATCATGGAATAATATATCTCATATATTTTATAACAAGGAAAAGCTATCTTAAAGTGAAACCAATATAAGTTTTTTTTAATACTGTCCTCTTATCTCTTTCTTCTCCTTTCTTTGCAGGAAAGATCTTGGTTCATTGCATTCTAGGCAAAAGCAGATCCCCAGCGCTGGTTCTGGCTTATCTGATGATTTGCCAGAACTTGTCTCTGGCTGATGGTCTTGAGGCGCTTCTGCAGCATCGGGCAATTTCCCCAAACCGAGGATTTCTAAAACAGCTTCAAGATCTAGACCTGGAACTGCGGTACAAGAGAACTCGGTGTCAACTTTTATGATGTGAAGAAAAGAAAGAAACAAGGACTTTTGATAAGAGATTTTTTTTTTTTTGAAAGATCCTTACAATCTTATCACCATTTCATTTTTTTTCCATGAGCAGAATTTACAAAGCTTCTATTTCAACAGGTTGAAGAGCCCAAGAACACTCCAGACCTCCACCAAACATTTTTCTCTGACCCACCTTTCTATCCCCACGGCAGCTCCACAGGTATCTCCTGTGGAGAGGATCCAGTCGGGACAGGAGGAAGACCAAAACCTTCTCCATTTATGGAGATTCTCATTCCTCCAGGATGAGAATCTCCATAAATGGATGCTTTTTTTCATGAGGCAACTGGACTTTCTTGTTTTTCTTTGAAGACATTTTGCTTCTCATCCCAGAAGCTTCTTCAGCTTCAACCTTCTCAATTGTTTCTCTCTACAAGTAAGATTTAAAAAAAAATCTAGAGTTTCTGTCACAAAGAAGAGGGGGTCAACTTCTTCTCCAAAGCACCTGAGGACAGGACAGGAAGTGATAGGTGGAAGTTCATCAGAGGGAGATCCAGCCTGGAAGTAAGGAGAAACTTCCTGACAGGGAGAACAATCAATCAGTGGAACAGCTTGCCTCCTGGAGTTGTGAGTGCTCCGTCGCTGGACAAGATTGGACAATCATTTCTCTGGAATAAGATCTCCAGGCCCTCTTCCTGGTCCTCTGATTCTATAATTCTGTATTACTTACTAATGTATGTATCTCTTGAAATGTAGATTTCTAGATCCCTTTGTAATCTAGGATACATGAAATTGGGAATTAAGTATTTCTGGATTTTCTTTTTAGGAAAACTGTTTTTAAAGCTAGCAAGACGTAGAAGAAAAGCAAACATTTGATCCCACTCATGGCGTCTTCAGACGTAGCACTTCACTGATGCTCTTCAACAGTTTTTTAAGGCCTCACAGAGAGAGCAAGAAAAAGAGGGTGAAAATAATGTGTTTGGTCTTATATCACTACTTAAGTCTTCTTTCTTTGGAGCACATGCAGCAATATATTCTTATCTGGAAAGGTTTGTTTTCCACTTTTCCTTCCTGGAGAGTTCCTTGTTGTCATTCAGAAGACGTGCACACACACACACACACACACACACACACACACACATGTTTGGAAAGCTAATAGGTTAAAAGCCAGCCATTCCCACTTGACAAGAGTTAAGTAAACATGTTGTGCTGGTAGCAACATCTTGAGGGTCCCCACTCCATCTCTTGAGTGCAGCTTGGCTGATCAAGTGAGCCGCAGCGCTGGCCTTTTGATCGCATTTGCCGGTTGGAGAAGGTGTGACCAGATTCCTGATTTTTAGCCAGAATTAAACACGCTTGTGCCTGCTCCGGCCTGTCAACTTCAGGCATCTCCTTTTGGAGGGAAGGGATTCAGCTGAGCAGGAATGATGTCAACAACAGCCGCTCCGCTTCTTTCCCCTTTCCTCCCTCCCTTGAAGGCACAACGGTGCTTTGCCATCTCCGTGATCCGGAGTCCTCTGGATTCATACCCCAAAGGTGCTTTTTCCCCAAGGGCCACTGGACTTCCTTTGTTCTTTTCCCTGAAGATATTTCGCTTCTCATCCAAGAAGCTTCTTCAATTCTGAACAGTTGAGAACTGGAGAAGCTCCTTGGATGAGAAGTGAAACGTCTTCAAGGAATTAAAAAACAAAGAAAGTCCAGCTGCCTTTTGGGGAAAAAAGCACCTTTGGGATAGCCATGACCTGGATGAATGAGACTCTCCATGGACCTGTGGATTCATAATATTTTCACCTGTGGAGAAAAGAGGTGATGGGAGCATTAAGTGTGCTCCCCCTAAAGGAGGAGGAGGAGGAGGAGGAGGAGGAGGAAGAAGGGAGGAAGAGAAGGAGAAGGAGAAGGAGGAGGAGGTTTGTGCAAAATAGAATACAAAAAATAATATAACCCTACACACCCAATACGAATATTGCTTTGCCATTAAAGAAAAAAAACCCATACTCTGTTTCTGAAGCAACCTGGTTTAATGTGGGCTCAAACAGAACCCGTTGTCACAGCCCAGCCACCCAGTTCCTTTTTTCCTACTAAGCACCAACTGAAATACTGAGTGTTCTTTGCTGGCTGCTCCTTCTCCACAGATGACCTTTTCTTTTTTTGGCAGCAATGCACAAATTCCCCATGTCAGGCTGCATTAAAGTCACAAAATCATGAAAAACAGAAAATCCTAAAGTAGGCCAAGGGCAAAGAATGGGGGGGGGGACAAAAATCTCTGATAACCCAAGATAGCCTAGGACACAATTGCTGACAGAATTTGTTGGGAATTTACTAAAGAAGTAACTTCTAACTAGACCTGTTAAGTTCTAGTTCCCGTTAAGCCCTCACATGCAGAAAGGTCGACCCCGTCTTCTCTGTGGCAGCCCCTCAAATATTAGAAAATTCATGTCAACCCTAGTCCTTTTCTTCACTAGACTAGACATTCTCAGTTCCCACAACCGTTCATTGTACTCTTTGGCTTCTAGTCACCTAATAATCTTTGTTGCTCTTCTTTGCACTCTTTCTAGAGTCTCAACATTTTTTTTTGCATCATGGTAAGCAAAACTGGATGCAGCATTCCAAGTGTGGTCTTACCAGTGCAGTATATAGTG